TAATTGCTAAGGTCCCTCACAGGGCAGAAATTCTGAGTCCTCTGTTCTCAGGGGCAAATTTAACATTTTCTTCTTGGATTTTATGATTTTACCAAAAGCTTAAGGGAAGCTTCCTTTCCCCATTCTTTGCTAATACTAAAAAAGAAACCCACTAAACTATCTCTGTTAGCGATTTCCCCAAGCACACTCAGTTTTTTCCAATCAAATCTGGCATGTAATTATCATTTCCTTTTTTCTTTCAATTTTTTTTCAGAGTGGAAAAAGTACTTTCAATACAACAGAGATTACAAAGTGGTAAATGAAAAGAGTCTTAAAAACCCAAAGCTGAAAATGGGAAAATTAAACCTGTTAAAACTGTTCCCAGGAATGCAGGGGAGGAGGGGTTAAAGGACAATGATGGAGGGGGTGAATTCAACTATGATATAGTGTAAGAACTTTGGTAAATGTCACTATGTACCCTAAATACAGTAATAATAGCAGCAATAATAATAATAATAATATTAAATAAAAAAGTAAGTTGAAAAACAAAACAAAACCCATATTTAAACATGACCATTTTTCAATGTTTAAATATTTTCATATCCAGGATCTATTCTGAGTTTTACAGCCTGGCAAGATACTTATTTTGGGGTGAGATGAAGCCTAGAGAGGTTAACTGACTGGCTTAAAGTCATAAAGCTAGCCCAAACCTTTGGACTAGCTATCTGTTCACCATAGATCATTATCTTCCTAATTAATTAGCCTGTGGATCTGGATTCTCTGCTACTATACTAATTCTTAGTTTAGAAACACACAAGTTACATGCCAAGGTCAAAACTCATTGCAACAGGACTGTGACCAGAAGTGTACTTGTCCCACTACACTCACTTTGCAAAGGTAAGAAAGCAATCTCACCCAAAGGTATTCCATCCCCACTGACCCTGAATAGGAGATAGTAGCACAGAAAATCTAAAGAGTTTAATCGTCAAATCTTTGTATCCTGAAGGCTATAGTGCAAAACAGACTATTAAAAGCAGATTTCCCGGCATTCAGGTTGCATTGGGATGGATGACTGAATTAGGAACATGCACATCTAACTTTTTCATTTTCACATTTGACAGCCAGGAGTGACCTGGCTATTTGTCTCTGGAAATCTGCTTCCAAAGAGGGAAACAAATAATTTTAAAAGATGCAAAACCAGGAAGGAACTAGAGGAAGCATGGCATTCACCAACTTTTCCCCCCAGTAGGTAGATATTGAGATCTGACCGCTCCATTTCTGCCTCAGACTATTACTTTCATGGTTCTCAGGGTATGGGTTATTTAAATACTTCTAATTTAGCAATTAGGGTATATGAGCCTTTTTCTTACACATGACCTAATGAAACATAGGAAGCACTCTGCCAGCCTCTTAAAATGAATCCCTTCCTTTAATTGGGAATAAGCATCACCCATGTACCACTACCAACTTTTCTACCACTGCAGTCCCAAATTATAATGTCTAGTACAAGACAGACACAGACTTGCTAACTAAACTATGGCAGGTTATTTACATCCAGTATTCACTAAGGTACAAGCAAGACAAATGCAAAGTATTTAAAGGAAATAGATCTACAGGGAAAATAGCAGTTTACTTTGTGTTTTTCTAGGGTGCCAGGCTAATGGTGAAAATGCAAAAGAAAAGGTCTAAAAGTTGGCTGGGTTGCTTAAAACTGAGTAAAACATTCCATGCTGGGCTTGCAAAAGTTCTCTGTAACTTCAGCACCATAGAGCAGCACTGCCCCAAGCTCTTCTGTAATTGGCTTTTATAGCTAATTAAACAAGGGTAGGTGGGAGAGATTTACTCCATCTCTGTAATGTTATTGTTGACTACTAGTGGCTGGCAGCAGCTTTTTACCCACTTGCATTTGATGCCTGGCCTGCACAATTAGCATCTTATTATGGGCTGGCCTTTCCTCTAATTATCACTTAGCTCAATTAAACATTTTATTTTATTGTCTTGTTCATGCACTAGCTCAAGGGCCTGGGCTTCCCAATTATTATAAACCCTAAGCTCCTGGAGGCATGGCTTAAGTGTTAGAGCCCCTGCCTAGCAAGTGAGTTCAAACTCCACTAAGGGGAAAAAAAAAGTCCGAAACTCCTTTCAGACAAGTGTTTTTGCCTTCTCATGTCCTTAGGCCTGGGAGATCACTAGGGACCTTGGGGCACGCAAACACTTCCTGAATGTTTGAAGAGCCTGTAGATGTCCATTGTGGGGGTATGGGACACAGTTGGAATCTGCCTCTCTATGCATGCCTATCCAACCCTATATCCCATATTTATCAGTCCCCTTCCTTTTGAGAGCTCTTTCTTTGACTACTTGGAGTTAAGCTCTACTCTGCTTATATGTAACTTTTTCCTTTATCTGTACAGGGTGGGCTGAAACAGACATAGGAACTTCTCATCAGCACCACATTCCATGTTCCTCTAGAAAAAGGATTCAAGGAACTCGAGTTTATGCTAACATACTCTGATTTTGGAATCAAACCTAATAGAGCAGTTAGTTACCAAGTCTATTATACACATGGGCCTCCATCGGATACTCTAGTGAACAAAATGAAGTTTGAAAAGAGGCTGCAGAAGGTGATAGGAGTGTGACTGTGGGAGCTGGAATGACCTGGACTCTAGCATTTACTATGTGATTTGTGACTTTTCTCAAAGGCACTGGACCTCAGTCTCCTCATCTGTAAAATAGACCTAAAGCCTGTTCTGATGACTGAAACTTTGTAAAGTGATTAAAACAATGTTAATGCATAAGCACTACGTATATTGGTAAAGGAAATTAACAGCATACAGGGTTTTAGAATAGACATATCTATAAACAGCACCCCCCTACCACCAAAAAAAAGAATCTGACAGTGATGGAAAAGTAAGTTTGTTTAATAGAATAATAATATGCCATCATTGACTTCCTGATTTTTCTGGCTATAATATGTTCTTTGAATTGCTTCAACAGACTAAAAAAGAAACCTGAATTTATGACTTTCTAATGCATTCTCACAACAAAGGTGATAAAAACATTCTCGCAGCATTTACACAGAATGACTAGTGAAATATTGTTTTACTAGAGAATTTAAAATGAACATTCTACTGTTTACATTTCTGCATACCTACTTAGCCTAATTTATCAGACATCACTTATAACATCATTCAGCAAATATGGTTGATCCTTCTCCAGTAGGAAACCTTTTGTCAACTGTCAGGCGAATGGTACAAATAAATGTTCTATACTTTTTTTTTGTAGTCCTGGGGATCAAATCCAAGGCTTCAAAATGCTAGGCAACTGCTCTACCGCTGAGCTACACTCCCAGTCCTGTTCTACATTTTTAAAAACATACTAAAATTTTTTATATTTAAAAATGACTCCATGTTATCCAAACTCAGACTTTTCTTCCTGTCTTTTCTGATCTGTCAATTTGCTGTCACCTTCTAAATCCTCAGATCATTAGAAATTATAGCTATTAAAATCACACTCCCAGGGTCTCTCCTCTCTCAGCAATCTCTAGCACAAAATGCTATATTTAACATCAGAAGTCCCTTATCATAGAGCTCCTCACATAGAACCCAGTTGTCCAACCACACACAAAGGCATCCATGTGCCATAACAGGTGTAGCACCGGTATATTCATTAGGGAGGAAACCCTTCCGGCTTCACCTCTCCCAGTTTTCCTGGAGGGTAAAGTCCAATCCTATAAGATGTTTTCCCTTCACAGGTTATCTTTAGAGACCTATGTCGAGATATAAGAAACAACTAGTGTTATATACATGTATGGACATAACACAATGGAACCCTTTTGTACATTTAATATGTGAAAAAAAACCAAAAACAATTAATGTCTAGTCTACCAAGCAGTGATCAGCAGTTTAGTGCCTAAGAATGTAGTCAGACACTTTCTCTGCATAACTTTTCCAGACTCACCTTCCAACCCCACTGTACCCATCCCCCATATAACACTAACCACATGTTCTGTGGCTATGTTAACCCCTCTGTCTGGGGAGTACCTTTGCGCAAAAATTCTATTTTGGTTGTTCTAGTGTTCCAAAGTAGCACAATGCTTCAAATTAGTACCTGTGAAACTATTTGAAGCCAATCTCAGAAACACCAACTTTTTTTTTTCTTTTTGGGATGATTATGCTGTCATGATTAGGTTACTTTCATTTTTGAGAACAGGTTAATTCCTCAAAAAATGGGACATTAGGGAAAGTTTCAATCTATTTGGGTTAACACCTCCCTCCCCAATTATCTGCATGGCTCCTTTAAAACTTGTGCGGTATCCTATCTGATCCTCCTCAATGTGCTTCCTGGGTGACCCCGGCTTCACCTTGCAGGCATCCTCTCTGGATATCCAAGGTCCATACTCCCACTCAGCCACCTCCTGGGCATGTCTCTTTTTCTGGCAGCTATCCAGTTCTCAGCGATCACCTCCAACAAGCTGGGGCATCCAGAAGCGCGGGGGACGCAGGACACTGCACCTCGCTGGCGCAGGTTAGCAGACCCCCCCTCCCCCCGCACTCTCTTTGGGACAATGCTGTGGCCACCACCAAGGCAAAAGATCACCGCAGGGAGAGAGGCAGAAAGAGAGAGGCAGAGAGAAAGAGAGATCCAAGGCGTGCAGGAGTGGGGAAGCCTCTGGACTAGTGTGCCCCATCCTAGCCCAGACCCTTCCCATCGAGTATGACCTAAACAGAGCTTCATCGCCTCTTCTTTTAAACCATGATATGGACCAAGGAAGTGAAGGGGGGCTGAGACAGTCCTCCCTCGGCCAATCACAATGTCCGCCTCCCCTCACTCGCGGGCTCTCTCAGGCGGGCTCTCTGTCTGTCTGACACGCACCCAATCTGCTACTTCTACTCCAGCTCTGAGCAAACTGCGCCGCGCGCTCTCGCACTGCGAGTGCCCGGGCTCCGGCTCCCGCTTCGGCCGGAGCCTCTCGCCTCACCCCAGCTTCTTCATCCCAACCCCAGTCTCCCCACCCAACTGACCATAAAGCCTGAGGCAGTTCCCCAGTCCCAGACCCCCGGTGGGGCTCCCGCCGCTGCCGCCGTCGCTCTTCCTGCAGTCCCCGACTCGGGACCCGGCCTCGTGCTGCGGCGATGGCTCCCCGACACGAGGCGCCGCGGCTCACTGGACTCGGCCAGACACCGGGCGGCGCGCAGGAGAAGCCCATGGAGCTCCCGGCGATGGAGGCTGCCGCGGCTGCAGTAGAGGCAGCCGCGCAGGATGATGACGCGAGGCGCGGGGGGCGTGGTCGGCGCAAAGGCGACGCGGACGGATGACGTAAGGTGCGCGAGGCTGCACGGCAGCATGGCGTCTGTGGCGCTGAGCGAGGCAGAGAAAGTGTACATCGTGCATGGCGTCCAGGTAGCAACAGCGGCGGCTGCCTCCGCTGGGTTCCCCTGGCCCTACGGGTTGCTGCCGATTCTCGGGTCTCCAGGGAGGATGCGTCCGGGCCGCTGCGAGTCTGGGTTAACCTTGTGATTAAATGCGCTGCGGTCCGCGTTTGTAGCCCAAAGCTGGCAACGTGGGCATTTTGAGGACCAGGCAACGAAGGTCTGTTTAGGATTGATTGCTTACTTACAGCTGTATGGTGAATACGATTCCGAACCCTGTCAGGAAACGGTGGGCAGTTCCAGCCACTTCTAAATGAGGGAGCATCGCCCCTGTGGCTATCCATTCAACCTTCGCGCTCTTCACTGGGCCCAGCCTCAGTTTTTCAGTTTTCTTTTCTAGTAAGTGGGGACTTGGGGGTGGGCATCTGTCCCGCTTTTCCTCATCTCGTGATTGGGCGGCGAAGAGTGAGGAGACACCCAAGGGCAAAGCGCTTTGAATATATAAATCGCTCGGCAACCTGTGGCACACACTTGTTGACTGTTTCTCATTCTCTCAGTGGAGAACTAAGATCCCCACGCAGCTATAACCTAACCCTTGGTTTTGACCACTCCAGAATGAGAATTGAATGTTGGATCTGGTGACAATCTTCACAGTATTCCTGTCTGGCTCTGCTCCACTTGTTAATCTAGGGTAAAATACTCCCATTAGACTTCTGCAACTGGTGGCAGACCCTCCCCGTGTCCTTCCTTCTCGCTTTCCCTCTGCCAGGACCAAATGCAATATCAGTGGTCCCGTGATGTAGCCATCAGATTAAGGCGACCATTAAAGCTCCACAACGTGAGTAAAGGCCATGTTCTTTTTAAAATTGTGACCTGTTGCTTCCTTTTATGCCCTTATAGACTAGGAATCATTAATAGTCAGCGGGTTGCATAATAAGCTTGAATAATAAAATCAGAACTCAAAATTCCATGCACTTTTTAGTTAGAATTCAGGATTAGGAATGGCAGGATATATACAGAATGTATGTGCAGAATATATCAGGATATGTGTATGTATGGGATATATAGAGAATAGAGTAGTGAGGAATGATGAGATACATGTGATCAACCTGGAAAAAATACTGGCTCTCTTTCATGTTTGTTTTTTCCATCAGAAGTGTGGCTTTCTCCTAAATCATTCATACTGTATCCTTAGTCTTCATAGTGATTCCATTAAGGGTTCATTCTGTGGCTTGTTGAGATTTAAGTACATTTTAGAAGGCTAGGGATTCTTGGCAAGAGCTAGAAAGTTCCCCACACATTTCTGGAGCCCCTTTACTGTTGGGCACCATTGTGGATCACATGGTCTTTGTGACTGTCTCTGGTGATATATCTGCTTTTTTCTGCCAGTTTCCCTTCTCTGTGGCAACCTGCTGGCAGGCTTCCCTTCCTCCTTGGTGAAATCTCTCCCCACCATACCCTTACTTTGGTATGGCTTCTCCAGCCCCCTACCTTATCATGACATGTCAGTGCCTAAACTTTCTTCTCTCAAGTATTTCCCAGATCAGAGATCAGATTCCAGTCAGAGAACTGGTTTGGTCTGCTACTATTTCATGCTAAAAAAGAGCTGGTCACTTTTACGGATTTTGGGTCACACATATGCCTTGGACTGTAGCTGTAAAAGGTAGTTATATGACACTACAAACCCATAGGCACAGTAGGTCCCACGTTCAGCCTCCTGGGTGCTGTGGTCATAATCTGGGTGCTCACCTGGCCCTCATTTCAGACCAGGCCATGGCTGTTGATTACCAGAAGAGGCTTTCTTCTTGGGGTCCTGTCAAAGCTATTTGATGGTTTGCCCTTGGTAGTTGAAAGGATGGCTTCTGTTGTGTTGTTGTTGTTGTTTTCCTTATGGATCTAGCATATAATGCATACCTATGGGAGTGCATGACTGAGCTTGGCTTTCAGCTATGAGATTAAGAAGTCAGAGCATTCAGTTGTTCAGTCTGGCTGTGAAGCCAGCCACCAACACTCTTGCTTTTCTGCTCTGGGCCAGTTCCATTGACAAACCCATGACACTTAAAGTCTGTGCCTAAACATTGTAGGGTACAGCCTCGGGGAGCCATAAACTATCAGAGGAATTCAGTGCTGCTCTGGAGGCTTGGGAAGTGAAACAGAAATCACCATCTAGTTTTGTCTGTCATGTCTTGGGCCTGGGTCTGCAAAGCTGGGTCAGATGAGGGTCCTTTCCTCAGGGTGGTTGCTTTGTAGCAGGGAAGGCATTTGACCCTCAGTTCTCTAGGAAACTAAGGTACTGGACAAGTCAACGCAAGGTGAATGAGGGGACACTCAGGACTATTTCCAACTGGAAATGGTCCTAAAGTGTGTTTAATTAGTTGTGTCAACTTGTCTTGTGGGCTTCTGTTAAAGAGCAACAGGACTGGTCACCTGGTGTGAGACAAAGCAGCCCAGGCTTAGTTAAATGTCCTACTGTCACAAGTAGGGTATTGCAACTTGGTGTCTCGGTTTCCTCACTTGTAACTTCTTTTTGGGGTTGTTTTGAAGGATTCATTGAACTAATCCAGGCTCCCAGGAGCAGGGGGAAAAGAATTGCTTTGTGGGTGGGGGTAGCTTCTCTGTGTTACCTTGTTAGGGGGCTTCCCTTATATGCTTTAATGACCTGTAGGCTGTCCTATAATTGTGATGTGGGAGTTATTCCTATTTTTTAGATGAATGAACAGGTTCAGAGCTCTTGAGGAACTTGCTCAAGGTCACAAAGCTGTTATGTAGCAGCTTTTCATCACACCAACACCCAACTGGCAGGGCTGTTGTAATCACTTAGGTAACAGCTGTGAAAGTTGCTGAGCGCTGGCCCAGCATCTAGAAGCATCCATCTGGAAAGAGCTTCAGTCTTCTGTGCTGAGGACAGGGCTCCATTCCATGAGGATGTCCATCAAAATCTCTGTTTTTTTTTGTTTGTTTGTTTTGTGGTATTCAGGTTTGAACTCCAGGCCTTGTGCTTGCTTGGCTGGTGCTCTACTTGCCTACCTACTCTACTATTTTTCTAAAAGGGTCATAATTTTATGCCCTAACTAGCCAAAATAGCAATCCCTCTCCCGTGTAGCTGGGATGACAGGTGCATGCCACTGTGCCCAGCTTTTTGATTGAGATGAGGTTTTGCCACTTTTGCCTGGGGCTGGCCTTGAACCTTAGTCCTCCCAGTTTCCGTCTCCCGAGTAGGTAAGCCACATCCCACATGCCTATCTAAAAAAAAATTTTTTGTTGTTTTTTGGTAGTACTGGGGTTTGAATTCAGGGCCTCACACTTGCTAGGCAGGCACTCTGCCACTTGAGCCACTCTGCCATCCCTGCTTTGTGTTGGGTATTTTTAAGATAGGGTCTCCAGAACTATTTCCCTGGGCTGGCTTCCTCCTGATTTCTGCCTTCCAAGTAGCTAGGATTACAGGATGAGCCACCGGTGCCTTTTAAATCTATATTGATTTTAAAGCTGGAGCTTTCAATTCAAGGCATCCTGTGTTTAAGTGGTTACACGTGGATTAATTCTTTTGCTCTCAAGTACAACAGATAAATAGACATTGTGGTAGGGCTCCAGGCTCTGAGCCAGGCCAGCCAGGTTTGGGCAATGTCCTAAACCTTTTATAAGGAAAGCTGGATATTTTAAAAGTTGCCCTGAATGCAGTGGTTCATGGACTAGTTAGTTGTTTTGGTTTGTTTTTCTCGTTTTCTTTTTTGGGCACTTTTGAATGCCTTATACATCCTTGGAAAGGAAAATTTGTGGCTTTTTTTTTTTTAAATCTCTGGTCACCTGAGCCTTTCTCAGGAGGCAGAAAGTTATTAAAACTAGAAAGGTAAGATCTGGTGTGGCCTCATTTTCTGACACCTGTCCAGCCCTGTCTGAAAATGAGTTGCTACAAGGAGATGTGACTAGTGGCATTTTAAAAGCAGTAGTTGGAAGGCCTGTGGCCTTGTGGCCTCCCTGGCTTCAGAGTCGGTATCATTGTCAGGACCACCTGATAGAGTCAGCCACAGTGTCCTTTGAAGGGGACTGCTCTGCTGACTGCTTTTGTAAGGTGAAACACTTTAGAATGCAGTGGACTGTGTGGAGTAGTGGCTTGGAGTTCAAGTGCTACTTGTGTGGGATTGTGATTTCACACAGTTACAGAGTTGTGAGATCCTTAGAAGAGGGATCACTTTCTGATGTTCTTCCCCAAAGGCTTACTCTCCAGTCTTCAGATTCTGTTGCTTTTTGAGTACATGTCTTATGCCAGACAGGGGATTGTTTCCATTGGGGGAGAGAATGGGCTACAAAAGGACTTCCCTCTGATTTATGGTGCTTATTTTCCCTCATTACAAGGAGTTGAGAGAGTTAAGATCTGAAGTTAATATGAGAGGTGGTCATAGTTAGTACTATGTAGTAGGAGCATTTAACAGTGTTTTGCTTTTCTTTGTTTAATTTCTCACAATAAAAAAGTCAGCCACATATGCAGTTATCTTTAAGATAAGTTTTTGAGAGGCTCATGCTTAAAAGCAGACTTTGATGTTGTGGGGAACACCAACTCCTTTGAGAATCTGATGAAACTAATGATTCTTTTTCTGGAGGGAAAACTGCTTTCAAAAGATATTTATAAAGAATGAGGAAGATCTTGATGAGCTGACTTGGAATAATTTATCGAGAAAGAGAGAACATTTATTATATAGTTAAGCGTTTTTAAAAAGCCAGGTGTAAAAGAACATGTAAGATGGTATGCTACCTTTCATATAAGAAGAAAGGTACAAAAATGTTCATGTATCTGTTTATTTGTGCAGAGGAAATAAAGATAAACCAGAAACTAAAGAGTTCGGTTGCTGACCTGGCTTGGGTGGAAAATGGGTAGAAAGAAGTAGGTAGGGCATGCAAGCTATGGACACAGCCCAGGTGCCCTACAACTCATGAATGGATTAAGAAAATGTGGTATTTATACACAGTGGAATTTTATTCTGCCATAAAGAAGAAAGAAATTTTGTCATTTGCAGGTAAATGGAAAGAACTGGAGAACATCATCTTAAGTGAAGTTAGCCAGGTTCAGAAAGACAAAGATCGCATGCTTTCGCTCTTTTGTGGAAGATTGATCCAATACAAATACAAGCATTATCATATATATACATGTATATATATATACATGTATATATATATATATATATATATTGTATATATAAATATATACAAAGCATGTTTCCAAAAGTGGGACTGTTAGAGGAGACTAAGAGGAAGAAAAGAATGTGTCTTGTGTAGAAACAAGACACAAGGAAACACTGAAAACTGCTAAACAAAACAAGGTAGGGGGAAGGGGGGCAGGAAGAGTAGTGGAGGGGGTTAGACTGATTTGTGCACAATATATTTACAAGTAAAATACCAAGGCAAAATCCCCACTGAACAAAAACCAGACACTTAAACAACGAAGGACAGGAGTGTAAAACAGGTCATGTTAAGGGGGAGGCACTAATAGGAGCGGGAGGGTAAATGAAGAGAGTAAAAGAGAGTGAATACAGTTGATGGCCTTTCTGTCATGTATGAACATGGAACATTGAAGCCTGTTGAAGTTATTTTATGAAGGGGAATGGGAAAGGAAGGAAAATAATGGGGAGAGATGAGCCAAATTGGGCTATAATATATGTACATATGAAAATGGCACAATGAAACCCCCATGTCACTTATCATATACTCTTTTTTTTTAAAGTGGGGCATGAAGATCACACAGTACAGATAAAGGAAAGGTGACATTCTCTTAGCACTCCTTTTCTGATAGCTTTGACTCTTAGACACAGAATGATACTTCGTACTCCAATTAAAAGAAAAGGATGTTGGGGCACCCAAACTGAAATATAAAGAGTTGCAAATAAGCTGCATTACAAATGAATACTCTAACCACTGGGAAGAAAAGAACAAACCTGTGTTACAAATGAACTAACTTAAGTAACCAAAAAACAAATTCTAACTGGGTACTGTTAGGTTAAATACAAAAAGAACTTTACATGTAACTACTTTGTTGGTAGATGTGTTTCTCACAGGGAATGAGCTAGCAGTCCTAAAACTACTTTATGTGTATACTAAGATTGAACAAATATGCAACTACATTGTACATAATGAGAGCCAGCTTTCTCCCTGCTTCTACCTACACAATAGAGATTTGCTAGAGGGACTCAGAGAAAGTTACAGATAAGAAAAAGAGAAAGGTTGAAATGAAAACTCTGGATACTAGATTGGAACATGGCTTTTTAATAGATCTATAGACAGAGTTATGTGTAGATGGGTGTGTTAGTTGTATGTACTTACTTTTTCCAGCTCTGCTGAGAAAGTCTACAAGCAGTGATGCCCCATAACAATGAACTTAGCACCCAGATCCCAGGTTTTGTGTACTGTTCTCCAATAAAAGGAACCAAGACTCCTTGGAGAAAGGGCTGATCACCAGGAACAGGGCAGGGAAAGTAAAAGATGCTGGAGTATCATTGTCAGAAAGTAAGGAAGAACTCCAAAAAAGTTGAAGATGTGTAGAAAAAGCACAAGAACCGACCTGGAGAAGCTCCCAGCAGTCCAGTTTGAAGCACTTTGAGCAACAGAATGGTGATATTAATAGATGATAGCCACAGCGTAATGTAGATATCTGTAAGTTGTCCATTTTGAGGGGAGCTTGAACTCAGGACCTTGCACTTCCAAGGCACAAGTGCTCTACCACTTAAGCCACATCCCTAGTTTTTGTTTGCTTTTTTTTTAGTGTTTTCCAGTAGGATCCATTCTTTTACTCAGTGAATTGTACTTTTATTAAACAAGTAGATAGATGGGCAGAAGGAAAAAGCACTGTGTAACCACCTTAAAAACCATTTCCCATGGCAGCAAGCTTGCTGTTAAGAGCTAGGTTGGAACAGGTCTCTGTCACAATCAGTCCCCTCTGCCATGGTAGAAAAAGCAGTCATAGACAATACCTAAGTTGATGGGCATGGCTGTGTTACAAACTAGTCACAAAAACAAGAGGCCCATAGGCCTTAGTTTATTGACCCTGCTTTAGAAGGTTATGTGCCTTTAGGTGTTGCACAGATCTTGTTGGACAGGTTTTGTAGGAAGGAGGCCACAATTGAGACAGTTGTGCCCTGTAGCTCTGACAATTTTAACCTTGCAGATTTGGAGGGTGGTGGCTTCTTTTGTCTCTTGTTCAGATTTTGCTTGTTTTTGTGGATATACACCCATATGTAGTGTGGACTTAGCAGTCAGACACACTTGGCATGGAAATATATCTTTATCCTCTACCTGTGGGACTTTGGACAAGTCACATAACTTCTAGGTCTCCATTTCCTCATATGGAAGGTGGTAATATTAGCCAGGAGGACAGAATTTTGGGTGATCCCCTAAGAGAAAAGGAGATGTCGTATTGTATATTTCTCTTGGGGGGTCGGGGAGAGTGAGCCAATTTAGCAGACTCACTCAAACATGTGGCTCTTTATCTAAAAGGTGGGGATGACACTGTGGCAGAAATGAGGAAGTAAGATGGAGGGAGCAGAATGTGGTTGGTCTGGGGTCACTACCTGGGAATTGTTTTTTGTGCTTAGGAAGACCTCCGTGTGGATGGCCGTGGCTGTGAGGACTACCGGTGTGTTGAAGTGGAAACTGATGTGGTGTCCAACACTAGTGGATCTGCCAGGGTCAAGCTGGTGAGTGCTAAGGCCATAGTTCATGCCTGGGTGGAGAGATGGGTCAGCCCTAGGAGCCAGCTATAGATCCCTGCTGGCTTTTGAATGGGAATTATTCCTAGGGAGATCCAAGATCTAAGCCAAACTCAGGACCACTCACCTCAAAATGCCACTCTCCAAGTTCCAGCACTTCTCCTGTCTGAAAGGGGTGAGGGGTAGTTCCTGGCTGCCTGCCCTGAGTAAGAACACTTCTTCCATATGTCTGCAGGGTCACACAGACATCCTGGTGGGAGTGAAAGCAGAAATGGGGACACCGAAGCTGGAGAGACCAAATGAAGGCTACCTGGAGTTTTTTGTTGACTGGTCAGTACTGTGCAGGTGGTTTTAAAGAGTAATGATTCAGAAGATGAAGAGTCAGAAAATGAACCTCTAGTCTCCATTGAGCCTTCTCTTTGCATTTATTTAATCATTTAATTATCCAGGAGGTATTTTCCTATGTGCCGGGTACTACTAGGGAGTACCGCCCCTTGTCTTGCTCATCTGGTCCTTATTTTCTCTGTCTGAAAAAGGAGGACCTTAGCCAGGTAGCCCAGCCTGTGGTTGTTATGAGGATCGGATGAAATGATGCATTGCAGTGCTTTGAAGAATACCACATACAGACAGTAAGGCTCATTGATTTAAAATGCCCTTTTCTCATCCTATTCTAACTCTGCAGAGAACCGTTCATAATTTGCTTGGCAGATGAGGCCTGGGGTCAGCCAAGCAGCATGACAGGCTGAGAAGGTAGCAGTTAGGCAGGCAGCAAGGGTGCTGGGAAGAGCCAGGGCTCTATACTGTCTACAGTATAGACAGCCAGCTCTGAGCCAAATGCTTCCTTCCTTCTTTGGCCAGCTGAAGGACTTTAGGCTGTTTGCTCAACCTCCCTTTGCCTCAATTTCTTCATGTAAACAATGGGGATAATAAACTGGTGATAAGGAGGAAGTGAAAATAGAGGAAGACTTGGCATAGTGGTAGTCTCTCAGTGGGCTTTCAAAAAATGCTGTTTCTTTCTCCAGCTAAGGATTGGGGATTTTGACTGGGTTTTGGCCGACTTCCAATTTCTGACTCTAACCTTGCTTCTGGGAGCTAGGTGTGGACACTAGGCCTCTTGAAGTGGTGAGGAGCTCTGTGGGCTCCTGCCAGTGTAGGTGTATAGTGCTGACACTGCACGTGGTGTCTCTGGGACCCTGGGACCCCTCCACATTCAGGGACTTGCTTGAACTCACAGGACGTAGCTCATCGTTGGACTGGGACCGGGTTGTTAGTGGGACTGCTCATGCCCCTCTGCTTAACACATACATAATTCCATACTCCTAGAAGGAAAACAAAACACGATTTAGGCTCAGTGGACACCTGTTAGTTTACTGTTGCTTGGGAGTACTCAGAGCCAGGTTCCCAGATGCCACCTAGAGCCAACCTGGCAAGTAGGCCCTTCTAAGGGTAGCAGCCCCTGCCGCTGCGTCAGACCTTTCTTCCACCAAGGTGAGTAGAGCAAGTTAATTTTCCAGTCTTCACTTCCAAATGCAGATGCTGATCCTCACAGTACTTCTGTGATAGAAATGAGAAATGGAGATTGTAGAACAGAGGTGATTTTCCCAGGGTTTCATAGTCAAAAATGCTGGCTCAGGTCTGTGAATCTGAATCTTTGCTCTTTCTACTTTATGTAACCTGTAGAGACCAGGGTTTCTTTGGTTGGTTGGTTGGGTTTTGTTGTGTTTTGTTTTTATGGTAGTACTGGAGGTTGAACTCAGGGCCTCACATTTTCTAACAGGTGTTCTGCATCTTAAGCCTCTCCACCAGCCCTTGTTGTGTTGGTTATTTATTTATTTATTTATTTATTTATTTATTTATTTATTTATTTATTTAGATTATACTGGGGTTTGAGCTCAGGGCCTCACACTTGCAAGGCAGATGCTCTGCCACTTGAGCCACTCTGCCAGCCCTGTGCTGGTTATTTTTGAGATAGGGTCTTGCTTTATGCCCAGGCCATCCTGGACCATGATCCTCTTATTTGAGGTTCCCAATATAGCTGGGAATGACAGGAGTCTGGGACTGACTAGCTCACCCCATTGTGTCCAGCCATTAGTTGAGAATGGGGTCTTGTGAACTTTTTGCCAGGGCAAGCCTTGACTGCTCCTAGTCTCTGTCTCCCAAGTAGCTAGGATTACAGGCTTGAGCCACTATGCCTAGCCCATAGATTAGCATTGTACTTGGAGGTCCAAGAACTATCCATACTCATCTTTCTGGCCAGTTTCTTTCTGGCTCATTCCTGTCCCCTGTCCTGTCCCCACCAAGCAGTCTCTTCTGCTCCACTGCTCTCCCCAGTCTGAGTTGTCCCAGGGACAGCTCAGGTCAATGTGAATGATAGTGACCTTGTTCAGGCCCCATCTTATCTCTCCCTTTGCTCCTTTTCTTTTTTTTTTTTTTTTTGGTGGAACTGGGGTTTGAACTTGGCTTTCTGCTTATAAAGCAAGCACTCTACTGCTTGAGCTACACCTGCAGTCCATTTTGCTCTGTTTATTTTGGGGATGGGATCTCATGAACTGTCTGCCCCGGCTGTCCTCAAACCTCAATCCTTCCAATCTCAGTGTCCCAAGTAACTTGGATTATAGGCATGAGCCACCAGTGTCCAGCTTTTCCCCTTGCTCTTGAAGGAAGCAAAATGCCTCTCCTACACTTGACCTTCCCAATTCAATGCAGAGCACAGTTGCTGAGTGCTGATGCCCTGTGCAAGGAACTAATTGTGTTGCTTTTCTTCCCCTTTGTGATCACCTACCTCATTTATCCCAGGCAGAACAAAGATAGTCGACTCAGCCACACCAAAGAGAGGACTGAACTTAGATGTCTCGTGGGGCTCTTCTATCTGATCATGGCTGCAGGCCACCTGCTGCTCTCCTTCCTCCCTTGCTTATTCCAGCTGTAACAGCAGGTGACTCCAGTGTGAAAGAAGCCTTGGAGATGCCTCTTCCCACCATCTGGTTTCTAGAAGTAGAAGCCACCTCCGTGGATAGTGGCTGCCTGCCGTTTTCCTCCTTTGTAAATCTCAGAAGGACCCCAACAGACCTGGGGAGTCCTTCTCAGGATGAGTAGTCTTAAGAAGCTGCACACTCCAGCTTCTTTAAATGGATCAGTTAGTGTGATCAGCCCTGGAGGTAGAATTGTCAGGAGTTACAAAACTCATTTCCTGCAGAAGCGGAACAAGTTGTCAGGCACTGCCGGCAACCATTATCACAGCCTCACCTGAGTCTTTAAGAAGCAAGTCTTTTTTTTTTTTTGGTGGTGGGTACTGGGGTTTGAACCTGGGCCTTGCACTTGCTAGGCATACCGTCAGCCCGTTTTGCTTTACATTATTTTTTGGGCAGGGTGTCACTTTTTACCTGGGGCCAGCAGTGGACCTTGATTCTCCTATCTATGCCTCCTGCATAGCTGTGATTATAGTTATGTACCATTACACCCAGCTTGTTTTGTTGAGATGGGGTCTTGCTAATTTTTCCCCTGGGCTGGCCTTGAAACTCAGTCCTTCTAATCTTTGCCTCCCGAGTAGCTGCAATTATAGGCATGAGCCATCAAGCCCTGCCAGGGAGTAAGTCTTAATGGTGTAAACAGGCCAATCCTTCTATTGCTGCCTAGTGAATAGGAATAGCTTTTGTGCACCTATAGATGTGCACAGTTCCCCCTCCCCCCCATACACTGGGGCCTCTGCTTGAGCGCTGCAGACACTTGCCTATTCACAGGCTGAAACAGTTGCTCCCCTGGGGGAGGAAAGCAGTTGGTATTGGGATGGGGTTCCTCCTGTCACTCTGAGCCTAGCTTGATTTAATTCCTTATCAGTAACTTCCAGGCTTTAATTGTTTAAATTCCCAGTGCTAGAGGGGTGTCCAAATGTTAACCATGTTTTTGCCAACTCATCTTCCTTTGGTTGTCTCCTTGGAATGGAGCCCAGTCAGACTCTGCTCCTCACCGGCATGATTATTGACCATTTCTTGGGAATGAGAACCATCTTGACAAGTGGCAACCCTTTGGAAAGGGTGCTGGCTGCTCTGACCCTAAGCCCTGCTCCAGAGTTGCTTGGCAGCACTTTCACTAAACTGGAAGCAAATCTGGACCTTCTAACCCCATCCCTTGCTTGTGCTTTGCTAATGGTGGCCTGAGAAAAGGTCACTTTATTCATTTATTTATTTTGGTGGCACTGGGGTTTGAACTCAGGGCCTCACACTTGCTATGTAGTGTAGCACTTGAGTCAGTCCACCATGAAAAGTCCACCCATGAAAAGACCACTTTTAATGGGACTTTTGAAACTTTAGGACAAGATGGTTTCCATCTGAAGCCCAGGGGAAGGTAGGGATTGAGTGAGCTGCATGCCACACTGGGTTTACCAGTAGGTGGCGAGCCAGTGAGTCACTGCTCAGCTCTGACCGTGTGTCAAAGGTTTGAGACTGATTTAGCTTCTCAACTACTTTTAAAAAAAAAATTAATTAAATTAATTAATTAATTTTGGGTTTTTTGAGACAGGTTCTTAATATGTCGCCCAGGGTGGCCTCAAACTCTTGATTGTTCTGCCTCTGCCTCTAGATGCTGGGATTTCAGGTGTGTAACACCGCATCCAGCTGAGGCTTTGGTTTTTAACTTGGTGAGTTTAAGATAATGTGTTTCATTCATAGATGTTTCAGTGTCATTTGTCATTTCTCCTCAGGATCTTAACTGCTTTTCAATGTGCTCACTTGTATTTTTCACTAATGTAGAACCAGAATCTTTGAAACCTGCATGGATGTATAAAACCAGTTCATCTCTGTTCCTTGCCCTCTTAGTGCTGCTGGAAGGGGCTTCTGTTCTTAGCTGAAGAGCTGGGGTGGGGATATCACAGCGAGGCAACCTGCAGAAGCCATTTGAGGTTGGTTGTACTCAGTCTCTGGAGCTGATGAGGTAACTTCTAGAAACTTCACACAGGAGCTTCCTAGGGAAGCTTCTGCAGGCTCAGAAGTGAGCATGTGTACACACAGCAGTCAGCCTCAAGGCAGGTAACTCCTAGAGAGGCAAGGCCCCAAGTGAGCCCTGCTTGGGTACCCACTAAATCACTTCTGCTGTGGCCTGGCCTGACCTGTTTTGAAGACATCATAAATTTGTAGGCTAGATTGATTGCAAGGGAAACAACAGTGGGCCTAGAGTCCCATTCCAGGTAGATATAGCCTTGATCTCAGCCTACCCCACTTAACCCAGAGATGTGCCAAGCAGCGGGAGCAGGATAGAGGTGATGAGTCAGGAGGGTGGAGAGCTGGGAGGAGCAGTGTTAGTTCATCCAACTCAGTAAGCTGTTTTCCACAGCCTTGGAAGAAGGACTAGGTCATGTTTTATAAAGGTCTGAGTGGCTTGGTAACTATAAATGCAGAAGGCATTTGGTTTATGCCCCAAAAACCCATACCCCTACTAAAAGGATATATTGTAATGTATATGAGCAAGGAGGTATAATTAACAGTCTTTACTCTCTCTCTGTCTCTCTCTTTGTCTCTCTATCTCTCTCTCTCTTTCTCAGTATCTCAACCTCTCAACCTTGTATTTAACAGAGAAGCTTTTCATTTAGTCTCCGTTGGTCTTCTTTCTTTGACTGCATTTGTGTTCTAGTAATAATCTCAAAACTAGAACACCCATTCATTATCTTGAGCCAAAAGGTAAGCCTAAGGAGAAGCTAACCTGGCTAATGTTGGACTATAAGCCAAACTTACAGAATCATGTATTCAGAGGGACACTGGGAAGCCTAACAGTAAGGCTCAAACTACCCCAGCTAGAATCTTAACTCCCAGACTCTGGTCTCATGACCTCAAACAAACTATATAACCTCTTTGGCTCAGTTTCCTTAATGTAAAATGGGCTGGGGATTTAAGCTCAGTGGTAGAGTGCTCGCTTGGTATTTGTGAGTCCCTGGGTTCAATCCCTGGCACCAGTAAAGTCAAATAAGAAAAAATAAAATAAAATGGTATCAGTACCTCCAGGCTGTTGTGAGCATGAAGTGGATTGATACTTCGAAAGTGTTAGGGTAGATGTAGCACACACTAAATATGTTTTAAGTTGTTCAGGTTTCCCTCCTTGTGAAAGGGAAGAGTTGGCCCCTCTCGGATCACATGACACATCATCCTGCAGGTCACGGCCCACCTGTGAGATTTTTGTTTCATTTACGGAGTGTTTTTTACAAGGTGAATTAAAATGCTTTAGACAGGCAGGAAAGTGCCCCCATCTCTGTCATTCCCCACTAGGACACGAGGCCCTTTGTTCATTTGCATGGAGTACCTGCAAGGCATTTGGTTTTTTATCCTCTGGAGATGGTCTCTGAGGCCCTTTCCGAGTCCGCATTTCTGTCTGACTCTGTCACAAAAGAGTTCTTGTGTTAGGAGCCCAATGATGAGAACTCTCATTTCTCTACTTCAGTGTACCCCCCCGCCCCCAGAGACACACACATTATTTGACAGAATATGAGACCTCTGGCTTTTTGTTACACAAAGCATTGCACCCAATGGGATGCCCCGCCCTGAACACTTGCCTTCCATTTTCCCAGGCTTCTCCCCAGAGTAACCCCACAGCCAGGTCACAAGCTGACAGGAATGTGTCATGATATCATGAGCTTCTAAACCTCCTCTCTGCCTGTTGGCTGGCTGTGCTGAAAGAATGATATGTTTAAAAATAAGAGGCTGTTTTAAGTGGCTAAATAAATTACCCACTTTAAATTAGTCCAGCCTCAAAATACAACAGGGCATGATTTTGTAGGTAGATGAGTTTAGACTCCTGGATGAAGGAACGATCTGGGAAGTCCCGCAGGGCTGGAGAAAAGTTCATACTTTAATCCCTAGACTTAGTCACGTTCCAAAGGATGTACCCAACTATATTCTGGGAAAGATAAACATTTGAGGACAAGCATCTCTGACGGGGTTTGTCTACACAGAGACCTACGTAGATGTATCTTTAAGCACTTACAAATGGGACTTAATATTGATTGCTTGGTGTTTAATTGACAACTGCCAGCTCATCATTGGCCCATCTCATCTTTCCCTACTTCACTGGGGCTGCTGCAGGCTTTGGGTCCATTCGCCTTGCTCTGTCTCCAGATGGGGAGGGATCAGAAAGCGTCAGTGTATGACTTTGTAGAGTCCATGCTGACACAGCTGCATCTTCCCTTCCTGAACTGTATTGTCACAGTACAGTGATTAATGTTTACTTATTTCACAGACCTATTAAGGATTTGTTTGTGTAAAGCCAAACTCAAAAATTTCCCAAAAAACGCTTTTGATTAGTGTTAAGATAGCAAATGTTCGATCTTACTAGTTTTTTGTTGAAGTAATTGGGCATAAGTATCAAGAGGCCATAAAGGAAATAATGTTTTCTTTTGAAGTATACCAAGTAAAGTGAAAGGGGATAGCCTAATAGTTAATTAGCTGGCAGTCTTGCTCGCTCTTTCATTCATTTTCCTTCTTTCAGTACAGTGGTAATCTAAAGCTGTGGCTTACCTCTGACGTTCGTACTTGTCTTGTTAATTATTCCAGAAAAATCCTTATGCTTATACCATGGCTCTGGTATTGAAGCTAAGGGATGCTGTAGATAGTGTGACTGCTCCTCTGTATAGCAGGCTGATTCTAGACCTCTCAGAGAAGAGTATTTATTATACTCTGAAGATAAGAGAGTTCATTATTACCATCTGAGGTTCACATTACAGTCACTCTCTTGTTTCTCCTTGGCTGAAGATGGCTTCTGGCTAGAAGGCCCATCACATGCACTGACATATCCAGGGCACAGTAATGGGCTAGCATATCGTGGATGTCAGGAGGTCCGCAAGGTGGCAGGTGCCATCCTTTCCTCATTTCAGTGACTTGACTTCTTTTTTCTTTTGTGGTGCTGGGGATTGAGCCCAGGATTTCATGCATGCTAGGCCAGCACTCTACCACTGAACTGTACTCCCATGTCTTGGTGACTTTCCTTATAGAGCTGTCTCTATCTACAAACTGGAATGAAACTTGAGTTTTCTGATGTTTGCATTTGGAAAGACTTGTTTAACTTTTCTGTTGCTGTTCTGTGCAGTTCAGCCAATGCTACCCCTGAATTTGAAGGTCGAGGAGGTGATGACCTTGGCACAGAGATCGCTAACACCCTGTACCGGATATTTAACAATAAGAGCAGTGTTGACCTGAAGTCCCTCTGCATCAGTCCTCGGGAGCACTGCTGGGTCCTCTACGTGGATGTGCTGGTGAGTGTCATGTTGCTGTGCCAGCCACACTTTGCCTTTGTTGGAGAGCCCTTTTCCTCTCCACATGGATGTTTTCAACTTTCAGCGTGAGAGATTATTTGGGAAAAGATGGTATCCTGTGATCATTTTTTAAAGATAGATGTAATATGTTGGGCATGTATATGAACACTTGTAATCCCAGCTACTCAGAAGGCTTAGACCAGGAGGATCATAGTCTGAGGCTGGCCCTAGGCAAAAATGGAGATCCTATCCAGAAAGTAACAAGCAAAAAGGTTTGGAGGTGTGGTTCAGGTGGTAGAATGACTTCCTTCCTAGTAAGCTCGAGGCCCTGAGCTCAGAAACCTAGTACTGCATCTCCCCTCCCCCCCAAAAAAAACCCAGAAAAGATAAATATAACATATAAGTAGCACACATATAATGCCATTCTGTAATAAAATTGTAGTCATATCATAGTTGCATCTAAAAGTAGCCACAGAAGTTATCAGGGAAGATAAAAAGCTGTTCTCAGACTGGTGCCAGACAGAGCCATGGCAGAATTTAGATAACTAAGCATCTTCTGTGTGGAATAAAGATAAGCTCTTTGTGCATTTTCATGTCAGCCTTACAGATCTTCTGCAATTGAACACTGTTATAGTCTCCATTTATAAGTGAGGAAACTAGGACTTAGAGAGGTTAAGTAACTGGTCCAAGAAGGCTCAGCTTACACCTTGTACTTTTGGTTCTCAAAGCCAGGTCATTTGTTGTTTACACTTATTCTTGGCTTCACTGTGCTGTCCTCCCTTGAAAACACCCTAGAGCCTGCTCAATCTTACCTTGTTTCCAGGTAAGACCCAGAGTCTGCTTCTCCAGGGGTCTTTTTAGTCAGCCTTCTAGCTCCTTCCTTTTGGCTTCTCTCTCATATTCCTCTACTCAGATTTTGGCACTCAACAGTAACTTCTCTATGTGACTCTAATTCTTTCTATGTATAATAATGTAGCTGTCAATCCCTTGTTTATGTATGGGCTCCTGTTTTGTCTATGTTATTCCTTTTCTTTAAATTTTATGATCCTTGAGAATAACTACTGTATATTCTACTTCAGATTGAGGACAAAAAGCTAAGTCACTGACCAGACAGATTCTTTAATGAATATGGAGATAACAGAGATCTTATGGATTGATAGTGAAACAGGGTAGGGCTTTTTGGATTTATTTTATAAATTTTTTTGTGGTACTAGAACTTGAACTCAGGGGCTACACCTTGAGCCACTCTACCAGCCCTATTTTTATGATGGTTTTTTTTTTTTTTAGGGTTTGAGAACTATTTGCCTCAGGCTGGCTTTGAACCACGATCCTCCTGATCTCTGCCTCCTGAGTAGCTAGGAAACAGGTGGAGCCACTGGTGCCTAGCTTAAAAGTTGGGTTTGTTTGGTTTTTTTCGGCAGCACTGGAGTTTGAACTCAGGGCTTCATGCTTGCTAGGCAAGCACTGTACCACTTGAGCCACTCCACTAGCCTTTCTGAATATTTTTAAATTGATTTGATTTTTTTTTTTTTGGCGGTAGTGAACCTTGAACTCAGGGCCTCAAGCTTGCTAGGATGGCACTCTTCTGCTTGAGCCACTCTACCTTAAATTGATTTGATAATGGATGGAGCAGAGTCAAAAAGACAGCAGTGTTGGTGAAGACTGTTCTGAATGAGGACACTAATGACTGAAAATAGTGAAGCCATAAGTCCATTTGCTCTTTCTCCTCTCCATTAGCAAGGATGTACCTTGTAGTGTGAGTCTTACCAAGCTGGTTAATATCATGGGGCCTGGTTTTTAGGAGGCGAGAAATGACAGCCTGCAGTCCTGAATTGCCCAGGGAGGTGCAGGTCCACAACTGAACTCTCAAGTTGCACCTGGGGTCCAAAGAATATCCTGTCCCCTTCCCAGCCAGAAGAGTAGACAGGAGTGTTGTGGCACAATGCATTTGTCCTTTGTTACCTCTCAGCATCTGTCCACAGTTGTGGTTTTGCGGGAGGGTGACCCAGTGGCAGGGACTGATGCTCTTTTGATTCAGTCAGACTCATAGAACAGAAAGCTATTCTTGTATTACTGAAGGCTTTTGCAAAACTGGTGAATATAGTGACATTATTTCAACTCAGAAACAGCTCTGTTCTTCCACAAGCAGGAGCTACTTAGTGAGTGGAAGTATCCTAGGGAGGAGGTTGGTGCACCATGTGCCTGTCATCTGTGCGTCTTTCTTTTTGAGACTCCTGGTATTTGGATTTCTCCTCAAATTTTTTTTTTTAAAGGTTTTGCTTACTTTGGAAGAAGACATGAGCTTCTTCAGAAAAGTTTTAAACGAACTAGAAAAGCACTTTAAAAATTATATCGTGAATGAGGAGGTCAGTTTTCCATTCACATAATTTGCATCTGTGGAGGTCCCCTCTCATGAAAAATATTTGCTTTCACCTCGATGGCGATGTGCTTCCTGCATGGGATGTAGAGGGCAGACTTGCTTGGGGAGTGAGCTAATCCTAATCCAAAGAGTCTGTGTTCGAAGCAAGGTGGTGGAAATCCAGTCTTGTCACTGGGATTGTAAAAAACGAATCTCCTGTGGCTTATTTTTACCAATTGGTCTGGGTAGTTCTCAGGCAGAGCCATCTTCAAACAGATACTAGCTGGACCTCTTTCCATGTCTTCACCCTTTTGTCACAGACCCATTTACTTAAAATCTATTATAGTCAGATGTTCCACCTGTTGCCCATGTCATGTTTTTCTCCAGGTGAATTATTTTATGAAAGTAAAGATTTAGCTTTGTGGAAACTTTGCTTTTCTTTGTTCTTTACTGGCCTCTTTTGAAGATTTTTTTTTTCTTTTTTTTTTTTTTTTGGTGGTACTGGGGTTTGAACTCAGGGTCTCATGCTTTCTAGGCAGGCACTCTGCCACTTGAGCTACTCCACCAGCCCTAATGGCCTGTGTTTTTAATCAAAGTGTGATAACTATTAAGACTTTGTTGCAGTAACAAAGTACAGGTGACATTTGTTGGGGAGCTTGGTCATAGGCTGTGTTGCAAGGGCCCTGGGAGTGGCCATGAGAACCAGCATGTGGAAGGAATGGAGGGGACAACCCAGCACCATGTAGCCCACTATTTTCTAAGACAACAGTGAGGAAAGTCCAGGGGGAGCAGGTTTTATCTGGGGAGACGTTTTCCACTTGGCGGGCTGTATTTCCTAGTAGTATATTTTGAAAGAGGCCTCGTGAGAAAAACCCCTCATCCCCAGAATACTATAGAATTAGTTGGCTGCTCTAAAAGAACCATTCTAGAATTTGTGCATTAGAAGTGGAGAGGTGTGTTGCTGACCAAATGCATCCTCTCCAGTTCTACTCCATCCCTGCCTCTGTGACAGGAAGGGTTTTTCCTTGGAAAGGGTGGACTCTCACAACCTTTCTAGGATCACAGTCCTGGGGTGTCCCTCTAACACTAGATGCCTGTGCTTCCCGGGTTCTCCCTTCTTGTCCTAGACCTATGCAGATAGTCCACACTGCCTGATTCCTGCTGCTTCTCAGCTCTAGTGTCTTTAGCACAGAGGTTCTTGACAGGCTGGACTTACCAGAGAGGGGGGAAGGCAGGATCTGTGAGCACCTGTTTTGGGCTGCAAATATTAAAGGTACGATCTCATTTCATCCCCAGGGCCACCCAACAGGGAAGCGTGGCTTGCTTTACTGAGGGGGAAGACCAAAGCTCAGAAGACACAGCCAGCTAATGGCAGAAATGAGGGTCAGACCCACACTGCTGGACTCCAGGGAGCACCCTGCATTACCATGCTGTGTGCTGCGCTGCCAGGAGTCTGGGCTTATTTCTGTGCCCCAGGGGAGGAAGGCAGGGCCCTCATCAGACACTTGAAGTTTATTTTAGCATTCTCTTCTATTGATTTCATATCTTGGTGTTGAGCTAGAATGTTGAAAATCAAAGTTTGTGTCCAAACATAATGGGCTGCAGTGTAGGACAGGTGGGAGCTCTGTGCTTCGAGTTGGTCACTGTGCCACGTGTGAGAGCTTCTCTGCCTTTACCTGTTTCAAATATATTGGGTAAGGTGTTCTCCAGGTCCTCCCCAGCTTGTTGACTCTACAACTGGCCAAACGACATCGGCATTTATCACTTTGTTTGCATAACTCAGGAGCTGTGAGATGGTATAAAATGCTGATCATCAGGACCACATGGAGATTGAAGTAAAATACAGATTGCAGGGCCTCAGCCTGCATTTTTAATAAGCTCCTCTGGATTCTACGGCACAGCCAGGGTTAGGAACCTCAGCTGTCAGCGATGAATGGAGAACATGCAGCACATGTGCTCAGAAAGCCTGAGGGGCAACTGGAAAGTGAAAGGGAGCAAGTCATCGTTCACTCAGAACCCTTAGGTCATGCTTTCTGTGTGCTAAAGTCAAGCGCATTCTGAGTAATAACTCATTCAGCTTCTGACAGCTGTGGGGTAGGTGTTAGTTTGTCCTCTGCAGATGACACCAAGAGGTTAAGCACCGCCCAGGGTCCTGGCACCTGATAGGTGAAGACAGGAATTAGATCCAGGCATTCCGGCCCAGAGCCCTCTGCCAAGAGGTAGTCTGAACACTCAGTGGAGGAGGGAGGAGCTGGCTCTGCTGCTAGGCAAGGGACTTGAAGTTGAAAAGCCGGGTAGGATCCCAGGTTGAACTTCAGATTTACTTGGAAAACGTAATGGTGGGCTTAGAGGTTTGTACCAGGCATGATGAGGTGTTCTGGATGTAATCGTCTCTGACTTAGGTAAGTAAGGTGGTGTGGGCATAGGTACTGTTTTCTATGAGAAATCACTGGCTTTCTCCTTCATAGCAGCCTTTCCCTGGGCTCTCTGGAGATAAAGGGATGAACAAAACCACAGAGTCCCAGCCATAGGAGTTCACAGTTCAGATGAAGAAGAGACAGCACTGAACAAAAATACAGAAACACATGACTTCTTTCTACCTGTGACTTCTGGACAGCCTAGTTGGCTTTATTCCAGACCTTAGTTCAAGACTTCTCTGGAACGAGGACAGAAAGGGTGTATTGCCTTCCACTGTGGTTAATACGGCACTGACCTTTCCTCCTCAGTGAGCCTACATTAGTGCAGTTGGCGCTTGTACTCGGGCAGAAGCCTGTGTGGAAACCTTGTTTTTATAATTAATGTAAAATGCATAGTGGTGCTGGTCTGAGCATCAGGTATGCCTTGATTTGATAATCACATATGAGAGACTAACCCCCATCAAGTACAGGCAGAACTGGTCGGAGCTGCAGCATCCCTAGCCCCCACTCCCTCCTTGTGGGAGGCCAGACAGGTATTAGCAAAGACAAGTGACATTTGCAATGCAGCTGGGGCAAGGCAGAAGCAGTCAGTCTCTGCTTTAGTGCTGGTTCCCTTCTGGAGGCTGAGAGGAGTTCCACAGCCACAGTGCTGGCTGTGATCTTGCATGTGTGCCCATGGAAGCACAGCCCTGACAAGGCAGTGCTGTAGCCAGGGAGCACGTACTGTGTGGGTGAGCCATAGTCACTGTGTGGCTAGTCAGGAGAGCAGCCCCGTGTTCTGACCTTTGTTTTATGAACACACTTAAGCGTACTTACTGGGATGTGTCATGGTGATAAAGACCCTTGCTTTTCTTCCCCTTCAATGCCTATCTTCCTCAGCTTCTGGAATGTGGTGGAAATTTGTTCGATGCCATCTGCATTGCTGTGAAGGCCGCTCTCTTCAGCACAAGGTAAGTCTTCCAGAAACAGCCATGGGCTTACAGAGAACCTAAAATGGAACACTCAGGAAACTTGTCATTTCCTAACGCAGGTGTTAGTGTTGGAAAGGTAGCCAGCTAATGTTAAGCTATAGAAAGAAGATTTCGTAAGTTAAAGCTAAATCTGTATTTCTGGATTTTTTGGTATTATTTTTATAAATAAACATGTACCACGTAGAAAGTGTTAGAAAACTACAGAGAAGCATAAAAGAGTAGTCACCAACTTCAGACCAATGGCTGTGACTGGCAGACTCCATGGTCGGGGACTTTGACTCCACTGTACCCCCAGCACCAAGAACAGTGCCTGCATGATAACTGCTTACATATTCTGTGATACACACATGAATGTTCTCAGTGCCAGCGAGCAGTTTGTTCTTTGGTTCAAAACAGGAAGTGGTTGTACCACCGTGGTTTGCCTTGTGAAACAGTCTGCATAGAAGAGACAAAGTGCTAAGGTTTTGGGAGTTGACATTGCTTTTGATTCTGATTATATAGTTTCTTTTCCTCACGTACAACATGTACTTTGGGAAGAGTTTACAGCATTTGAAAGCAAATGTCTAGGTCGATGTGTTCATTCCATGAGAGTGCTGGTATTCAGGCATTAAAAATGAGGATTAAAACTTACAGTTGAACAAGTAAGCAAAGACATTTAATGAGGATGTTCACATCTTTGTTTTTGTTTTTTTGGTGATGCTGGGGTTTGAACTCGGCCTTGTACTTGTTTGGCAGGCGCTCTACCACTTGAGTCTCACCTCCAGCCTTTTTTTAAAGCTTTAGTTACTTTTTAGATAGACCCTTGCATTTTTGTCTGGACCAGCCTTGGACCACGATCTTTCTCATGTAGCTAAGATTACAGGCTCATATCACTATGCTCGGTTTTTGTTGAGATGGGTCTTGCTAACTTTTTGCCTGGCCTGTCCATGAAACTTAATCCTTCTGAGTGGTTGGAATTACAGGCATGAGCCACAGTGCCTTTCATCTTCTTTTTAATGGGCAAAAGTTGGACTATCTGCATGTCCCAACAGAGGGGATTAAAACCACACAGCAGCAAATTTAGAGGCTTATTAACATGGAAAACGCCAACTAAATGCACTTTTCACATCCTGGGTGTTTTTGGTTTTTTGGTTTTTTGTTTTTCTTTTCTCTCTCTCTTCTTTTTTGGTGGTACTGGGGTTTGAACTCAGGGCCTCATGCCTGGACCACTTGAGCCACTCCACCAGCCCTTTTTCGGTGCTGAATATTTTTGAGAGAGGGTCTTGTGGATTATTTGCTCTGGCTGGCTTCAAATCGTCCTCCTGATCTCTGCCTCCTAAGTAGCTAGAATTGTAAGCATGAGCCACTACCACCCGTCCACATCTATTTTTCATTGCATTTTACTTTGGTAATTCTTATATTTAGTTATATATATTATATATAATATTATACTCTGTATACTATATATATTATATATAAATATTATGTGTTATAGTATATGTAATTGTACATATAATCATAGTGACCATTTGGTCATCTGTATATATCCCAAATGGCCATTGTGATTATTTTTCAGTACTCTTATTATAGACAGTTTAACATATATCTAGACATTAGACCTTTTCTAGGCCAGTTTAGACTGCCTATGCAATTTTATATGAGTAAAAATGAAGTTAATTTTATATCAGAAATTGCAGGGTGGAGTATTTGCTGAGAATGAAAGCTGCTGTGTTCTCCACCCCTAACTGTGCCACTAGACTCCTTGCTGAAACCATTTGAGATGTAGGCCTGGCACCATGGCCACCATGGGAGCTTGCATGCCAGGTCCCCCAGCAGCAACCTGTGCTTGGGCTTTGTGGGAGAAGGAAAGGAAGTTGCCATCTGATGCATCTTGAGCTTCAGTAATGAATCTCCGTCTGCCAGCTGGTTCCTGTGGGTGCCACAGCAGAGAGATGAAACTCTGGCTGCGGAGGAGGTGTTGGATAAGTTGCAGCAGCATGTGAAACCCAGCTGCTTAGGTTGAGGACACCTGTCCTGGGCACAGAACAAGGCAGCCCTGCAGCAGCATGGAGCAGGTGCTCGGAGGCATTGGGTCCCTCACTACAGGGAGACCTTTTGTATAGTCAGTGTCCTTAAGAGGGGTAGAGGCCTTAATCCTTCTGCACAGGCACGTTGTAGGCAAAGTTGGGAAATTTAAAGAGGGTTGTTTGTGTATGTGTACATGTGTGTACATATGTGTATATGCTCATTTTTTAACATACCAACCTAAATTCAAACTGGTTACTGCCTTGTTCAAATAGGGTGTTGCTTAGTTCTTTCACCCAGCAGCCGGGCCCTTGATATGGAGGCATCAACCAGGGCAGGTCCTAGCGGAACTCTTTGGCCCTTTCTCTGGCTGAAGCTGTGCCCTGGATGCTGCTACACAGAGGAATGAGCAGCAGAGTTTTTGTTAGAGGAGTTGGGCAATGCTTCTGTCCCCATAGCTAGATAGACCACCTCTTCCTTCCTGGTCCTCCGTCCACGCTGGAGTGATTGGCTGTATGGTTAAACGTACTTGTCAGCACTTTAGAAGGCCCTGCGTGCATCCATGCAGCTGTACTCCTACTGTGTGGTGGTGATAGACACTGCACTGGAATAGTAGATTAGCTCTGTATTTGACATGAATGAAACCGCACAGTAGGTTCTCTCTTGTCTGCTCGTTCACTGGGTGTTGTTTTAGACATCTGTATTGTTGCCTGTAGTCGTATCATGCTTTTGCTCTGTGGTGTTCCATTGTGTGAATGTTGCGTAGTGGATCCATTCCACCATTGATGGGCATCTGGATAGTTTCCAGTTTGGGGCTACACAGATAATACTGGAAGCAAACATCTTTATAACAGACCTTTGGTACACATCCATTTCTGCTGAGAAGTGAAAGTTCTGGGCCATAGAGCATGACTGTTTTCTTCTAGTAGATACTGCAAAGACAGTTTTCCAAAGTGCTTTTACCAATGGATACACCCACCAGCAATATATGAATTCTGGGTTGCTCCACATTTTTGGATGTTTTTTCTTTTTAATATTAGCCTTTCTGGTGAGAATGTCTTGGTATCACAGTGTAGCTTTAATTTTTTTTCCTCTGATGCACGTCTACATTGAACCACCTTTGTTTGTTTATTGCTACTTGCATAGCCTCACTTATGAGGTCCCTGTTCACTCATTTTTCTATTATGTCTTTATGTTAGGTTTGGTAGGAATTTCTTATGTAATCTTCCAGATACATATTTGCAAATACTTTCTCACTCTGAATTTTTTTAGTCTCTAAATTACCTCTTTTAATAAACAGAAGTTCATAGTCTTTTAAAAATTTTATTTATTTATTTTGAGACAGGGTCTTATTGTGTAGCCCAGTCTGACCTCAAACTCTTGGACTTAAGTGGCTCAAGTGATCCTCCTGCCTCCCCTTCCCAAGTAGCTGGGACTGTAGGCATCACCATGGTGGCTGGCTGCCTTATTATTTTATCCTTCACCTTTACATCTGCAGTTTGTTTGGGTATGGTCTGAGATAGGGATCAAATTAATTTTTTTCCCCATGTAACTATCTGATTAACCTAACATCTATTTTTGGCAGTACTAGGGTTTGAACTCACGGTCTTGAACTTTCTGAACAAGTGCTGTAGCACTTTTTTGTCTTTGTTTTTCAGATAGGGTCTTTCACTTTTGCCCAGGCTGTCCTTGGATTGTGATCCTCCTACCTCTACCTCCTGATCCCAAATAATTAGGATTACAGGTGTGCACACCACAGCTGTCCTTAGCATCTTTTTTTTTGGTAGTACTGGGGTTTGAACTCGGGGCCTCGTGCTTACTAAGTAGGCACTCTACCACCTGAGCCACTCCACCAGCACCAGCATCATTTTTTTTTCTTTTTTATTGTTTTATTATTCATATGTACATACAAGGTTTGGGTCACTTCTGCCTCCTGCCCCCACACCCTCCCTTACCACCCACTCAGCCCCTCCCTCTCCCCCCACCCCTCAATACCCAGCAGAAACTATTTTGCCCTTATCTCTAATTTTGTTGAGGAGAGAGTATAAGCAATAATACAAGGTTTTTGCTGGTTGAGATAAGGATAGCTGTACAGGGAGTTGACTCACATTAATTTCCTGTGCGTGTGTGTTACCTTCTAGGTTAATTCTTTTTGATCTAACCTTTTCTCTAGTTCCTGGTCCCCTTCTCCTATTGGCCTCAGTTGCTTTTAAGGTATCTGCTTTAGTTTCTCTGCGTTAAGGGCAACAAATGCTAGCTAATTTTTTAGGTGTCTTACCTATCCTCACCCCTCCCTTGTGTGCTCTCGCTTTTATCATGTGCTCAAAGTCCAATCCCCTTGTTGTGTTTGCCCTTGATCTAATGTCCGCATATGAGGGAGAACATACGATTTTTGGTCTTTTGGGCCAGGCTAACCTCACTCAGAATGATGTTCTCCAATTCCATTCATTTACCAGCAAATGATAACATTTCATTCTTCTTCATGGCTGCATAAAATTCCATTGTGTATAGATACCACATTTTCTTGATCCATTCGTCAGTGGTGGGGCATCTTGGCTGTTTCCATAACTTGGCTATTGTGAATAGTGCTGCAATAAAGATGGGTGTGCAGGTGCCTCTGGAGAAACCTGGGTCACAGTCTTTTGGGTATATCCCCAAGAGTGGTATTACCAGCATCATTTTTTAAAAGAACTCCTTTTTTCATTGTACTGTGGTGTTGCCCACATGCTTTTGACAGAGATGATGGGGGCGAGGTAGTAATAATGCTTTCTCTTGTAAGACAGGGATTTCGGCTCTTGTTCTCAATCTCAAGAAGATGTTTTTCCTTCTCCCAGTAAATGGTAATTTCATTGTGCTTCTCCTTCCAGGATACCAAGGGTTCATGTTCTAGAGGATGAAGAGGGGTCGAAGGACATTGAACTGTCTGATGATCCTTACGACTGCATCCGACTAAGTGTGGAGAATGTCCCCTGCATCGTCACTCTCTGCAAGGTGTGAGTTTGTATCTGAGAGTTTTCTCTTTCCCCTAGGTATTCCCACCTCTTTCCCCTGGAGTTGGGTCTCCTCCAACCCTGGCCCGTGAAGATGACTTAATAGGTTAAGAAGTTACAGTTGCACAGACCACTTACAGGTTGCTTTAGCCTAGATCCAGTTACTTAATTATATCAGAAAGCACCATCACAAGGTTGTGGTGGAGTCCCAGGAGCCCACGATGGGCTCATGGTGTTCGTAGCCAGAGTTTGTTAAGCTCTGTCTGCATATATCCTTTAACCACCTCAGCTCTGTGGGTTCTAAGTGCTGTGTAGTGGTAGAGTGGCACCATTGTCCCTTCTGTGGGTCCCAGTGTTCACAGCTATCAGGGTCAGGGCAGGTCCTGGTGTCTATAATGTGTGAGCTGCAGTTTTCACAGAGCCAGAGGCCTGTGAGTCTGATATCTTGGATGCTGGTGTTGTAACTAGAACTGTCTGTGCCATGCAGAGAAGCTGGCTGAGATTGTGGGTAACTCCACATGAGGCTGATCATATAAAGATGAGATTGAGTGGGGCAGGTTTCATTCCACCAAAATCAGCGCATAATCCTGGAGTATGGGGAAACGGGCACATGAAAGGATATTGAGACCAATCAGTGCTTCCTGCACCGGACTCATTCTTGAGCTTGTCCATTAGCGTGGGCCCTCTTCACCATTGCAATGAGTGAAATGTCATATGACCTCACATGTGCATTTCTTCTCTGTGCCCCTGTGTTGGAAAGCCTTGCTTATTTCCGTTTCATGTTTTTGTTACACCACATAACACACAGCAGCTGCTGAACATTCCTTCAAGCATTTGCCACATGAGCAATCTCGAATGGGCAAATGCAAGGCCTTTGCCTGGCATAGATATTCTTTCCACCAGCCCATTGAGGGGTTGTAGGGTGTGCATTGTCCGCACCAGTGCTGAGCTGCCCTGACTTTGCAGATTGGCTGTCGGCATGTGGTGGATGCTACTCTGCAGGAGGAGGCCTGCTCCTTGGCCAGTCTACTGGTGTCGGTGACCAGCAAAGGAGTGGTGACATGCATGAGAAAAGTAGGGAAGGGCAGCTTGGACCCCGAGAGTATCTTCGAGATGATGGAGGTGAGGTTGTGGTGCTTGGAGCAGGGGCTGGGGCCTGGCTGGGGATACTTGCTGCTTCCCACCCCCTTGGTCACCCATGGGAGTCCTCCATACTCACCATGGACCTCAGACTCAGGGCTTAGAGAGCAGCTGGTAGGCTGGGTGTCTGCTGACCTAACCTAGTCCAGGGGCGCTGGACTGGAGATAAGGACCTGCCAGTAACCTTGCCTATCCTCAGCCAGTACCTCCCCTTCTGTGATCCCAAGCAACTTTGATCATGTGAAGAGTCACTTGTAACTCAGATCACAAGGTGAGGGAATTGAATTCCCTTCCCAGCTGACTGCTTCCTATCCCTTACAGGGAGAATAAAGGTGGAACCAGGGCTGAAGGGTGGCTATCTCCCAGTTTCTCTACAGATGTAGAAATGGTTAGTTGGAGGCTAGCAGGAGGTAGTCCTGAGGATAGGGTACAGTGGGTTGCCTTGTCTCCCTTGGGCTCCACGGCCCTGGCAGCAGCTTTGGGCACTTCTTTGGCTGCCTGAACTGTTTGTTCCACTGTCTCCCTCCGGGGCCTGGAGACTCCTCCAGGGCAAGGTCCTGGGCCTACTCACCACCAGACCTTCTTCCTCCCACATCCACCTCAGCTTTCTGACTGAATTGCTGAGAGCTGTCATCGGATCTGGCTGTTTTTTCCTCAGGTAACTGCTGTACCACCATACCTGCTCAGAGGTCATTGCTTAATAGCATGCACCCTTCCTTCCCTCAGTCTTAGAAGGGGTGCTTTTCACTGAAGGGTCCAAGCATTTCATGTCTCTACTTCTTTATGTCATCTTATTTAAAAGAATAAAATGGGCTGGAGTGTGGCTCAGTGGTAGAGTGAGTGTGTGCTTAGCATGAATGATACCCGGGTTTTGATTTTGAGCACCAATCTCCCCAAAAAAACCAAAAGAAAACAGTGGGCAGTGTATGTAGTGTGGAGGACCAACCATGGGCTGTGAAGTCATTTCCTAGGCTGTGTACCCTGGTGCTGGGCCATGGTCTGCTCATCTGTTAAGTGGGAATAGCAGCAGCGTCAGCCACAGGCTGCTCAGAGGGCTGTGTGGGGCGTAGAGTGCCAGGCACGCAATCAGTTCTCCGGACATGCAGCTCTTTCTCTGCTCTGTTAAATAGCCTGGGCTTTGGCTTCTCCAGAAGTACACAGAATGCTGTAGTGATTCCATCAAGGGCCTCTCGGGACAAGGGAGCCGCAAACCTTACTTTGAAAGGAGCGCCTCCCCTCACTACGGAGAATTTTGAGAATTCAAGTTCTAAACAACAAAACAAAAATAATAGCTAAATTGTAATGTGTGCTTACTGTGTACCAAACACTGTTTGTAGTGCTTAAAATATATTTTATCCCTTAGTACTCAGCAGTTCTCCTTTTTCCATATGAGGAAACTGAGGCACACAGAGGATGAGTAACTTGCCTGCATAGCTCATGAATGCTGGAGCTGTGACTCTAGAATCCCACTCTCATCCGCTGTGCAAGCCAGGTCTGTGACTATCGTTGATGGCAGAGGGAGAGGGAACTCTGTTCAATGAGTTGAGCCTCACCCTCCCTGGGGTTTTGGGGACAAAGCCTGCAAGCTCCACTCAGGGAACTACAACCCTGTGGTCCTGCCTCATTGTTTGCTATAGTCCTGAAATGCCCCTGATGGGGAAGCTGGGAGCCTCCAGCTGCCTCTGCAGCACCTTCCTGCAAATCCAGGTTCAAAGGCATTAAAGCCTGCTTGAATCCTGATATCCTGTTGTCTCACCTCTCCCCACCTTCATTTATATGAATTACTATCCCCCGTTGATGAGTTTGGACACCTTTTCTTTCTTTACAGCATTTTGGACCTTAAACCCTGAGTTTGTATTTCGTAGACCTGATCTTCCCAGACTTTTATACCAATCATCTTTTCTGAAGTGCTTCCAGTCCTACTTCGAGGGTCACCCCATGCTATAGTTAGGGGCCAGAGCAGTAGGCACACAGTCGTTACTCACCTCTATCTGGGAGGATTAGGCAGGGTCTGGACCTGGGAGTCTGTCTCCCTGACATTGTTGAGCATGAAACACTGTGGAAGGATGGAAGGCCTGATGGGGAGGCTTGCGGTTAGTTCACTGTATTCTTAAAATGATTCACAAGCCCAGAGACAGATGGTTTTATAAAGATTTTTCTGTGTATACTGGGGTTTTGGGGTACATTTTATACATACAAGTTTTTCTGTTTTCTAATGTGTGCAGTATGGACATTAATCACTTAGTCTGTCGGTTGCCTGACCTCTTGATGTGTCTCAGTTCCACTGCTGCTAGTCTCTCTGTATGGAGGTTACTCCACAGCCCCATCCAGGGGCTGCCTGTGGTTCTCTCTGAGCGCTTCTGCCTAGAGGCTTGCTTGTTAAAATGGCCTTGGCCCTGTCTACTCCTTTCCAGCTGCCTGGGTTCTCTGTGGTCTCCTTGGGCCTTCTCGTGGCACATGGTATGACATGGTCTGACTGAGCCCAGTTTGGGTTGACATCACAGCTCTTGTGATGGCAACAGGAGTGTTGAGCACAAGCCGATGACCAGGCAGCCTTTCTTGCTTCCTGAGCATGCGTGTCTTTTTTATTATTTGTTTTTTGGTTTTTTTGGTATGGGGTTTTCTAAAATGCAGTCATTATGTTGTGATTTGTTTTGTTTTAATTAAAATCCCTCTGAGGGGATGGGGGTATACTCAGTGGTAGAGCACTTGCCTAACATGTGTGGGACTCTGTTTCATCCCCAGCACAACAAAATTAAAAATTAAAAAAAAAGTCCACTGAGATAGATGGAATGTGTTCTGTATGTGATGGCTGGCTAGCAAAAAGGGGAACTCTTTCTTGTGTGCCTCACAAGTAGGTGTGTTCTCTCTTCCATCCCGTCCTGTCCCATCCCTGTCCTGCAGACCGGCAAGCGAGTGGGCAAGGTGCTGCATGCCTCCCTGCAGAGCGTTCTACACAAGGAAGAAAGCCTGGGGCCCAAGAGGCAGAAGGTTGGATTTCTGGGGTGACTGGCATGCAACCCCTGGACTATTTGTTTTTTACTTTTGCATTTAAACCGAAGTTTGTATATATTTTTCTTAATTGTAATGCATCGAAGGCAACATTTGTACACACAAAATTAAAGTCTATTTTCTGGTCTGGTTTGGTATTGCTAAGTTCTTCAGCTGCATGCCCTGACACCATTCAATTCAGAGATCTACTGCCAAGAGAGAGGGACAGGGGCCTCCAGGGAGATTCCTGACAACAGAGTTCAAAATGATGACTGCGAACACTGTACTAAAGACCTGGCAGAAAGTGGCTTAAAGGAAGTGCTTATGCTACATGTTTTGTGGTTTTTTGTTCTTTTTTTTTTCTTTCCCCTCTGTAGAACTTCAAAATAAGAATAACAAAGAGCAGTTACTTACTTTGTGTATTTGGTGCTTCTATGGCAGGGAGAAGGGAAGCCCACTGCCTCTTGGGTGCCCAGCCTGGCTGGCCAGCCTTCCTGAGTCCTGCATCCAAGAGATCCGGGCGGAGCTCCTTCAGGCCAGGAGCTCGGCCAACTTCTCTTATCACTCTGGTTTTGCAGTTGTTTTATAACCACTCCTTGGTGTTTTGTAAGATTTCATGTTATATCAGCATTGGGAAGGCTGCTTGGAAGATGTCATTTGATTATCAGCCGGCCTTCATACTCTGGGGATAGAACGGAAGGCCATCTGCTCACAGTGCAGCAGGTTGGAATTAAGTCTTCATAGAGAGCAGTCTTTGTTGTTTTTCCAGGGGAACCAAAACTGCTAAATCAGTCTTAGCCTGGAGAAGGAGCTGATTCATGGTGTAGAGTATTTTGGCCGTGGCATTTACATGCTGCACTTCACTTAGATAAACTGGGTACGTTGTTAGGAGTTTATCACCTAACACAACATAATGTGAGCTGAAGCCCCCTCGGACCACTTCCAGAGGCCTGGCATGGGTACCCTTCCCAGCACAGCCAGGCCTATCCTTGTGGAGAGAAGCTGTTGCCCTGTTGAGAACAGCCTGGGTTTTCATCTTGTATGTTTCTGCAAGCACCATGACACTTACTGCTCCTAACAGGTCGGAAACCAGCACTGTCTCCTCCCTGCTTCTGGTAGTCTGCCCATTGGTGGTACAGATGTGCAACTCAAGTGTGGATAAAGTTTGGAGGCTTGATCTCAGAGCATGTGTGTGAAACTTGGCTGCTTACATTTTTCTTCAGACAGATGGGGCTTTGCCAGGACAGCTGAATAGGGAATAGCTGCCACCTTCCCAGCAGTGCTAGCCAGCAGGCAGTACAGGAAACATAAGAATGTCAGCATCCATTGCTGACCATTCCATACCTTTCCTTGAAGGCCTCCCCTGCAGGCAGAATGTTACAAATGAACCACCAGATGATCATCTCTCTCCAGAAGGGTTGATTGTGAAGCTCTGTTTATTGCAGCTCTCAGAAAGGGACTGGAAAAGACTTGGAAAAATACTGTTCCAGAGGGACTAAATTTGATCCATCAGAGCCATAGCTGTCTTTAGTGTCCTTTACCTAATCATTTCAGGGAGGGGGAAGAACACTGAAGTCTGCCAAAGTCAGGGCAGGCATAAGGAATGCAGTGTTACATAAGATTCAAGTAGGTTTTAATGTTTCTGTCATCCTGGGATCTCCCAAATCACGTAAATTCAAGCCTGCAAAACACATGGGTTTAGAATATTAACAGTGGTTTGCATTTTGCTCGATAAAGGCAGTGTCTTCCATGTAAACAGGCAGAGCATAAGCCTATTTGATCTGACACAGTGAGTAAGATGTCCGTTGCCTCTGACCTAGTATTTCCACTTCTGGGAAAGTAACCAAAATAAGCAACTCAGGATACAAGAAGGCAGAAGTATTAAATGTAAGGAAGTTCATTCCAGTATTATTTGTGCTCCCAAGTAGTGGTCAAGGGTAAATGCCTCTCACTGGGAAGTGTGAGATGACCCTGCTGTGCTGCTTCTGTTCCTCAGTCTCTCTTGTTGGGGGGTGGAGGGGAAGGGCACAACTACAGGCTCGCTTTCTACTTTCCATATGCATTTCACCCTGTTCTTCAACTTCTGATGCCAAGTCAAGAATACTGGCAGGAGCCCACTCAGCATTTAAGTATGTGCAGTCCAGAAATTCTGAGGACTCAGTGGCTCTTGAAGCTACCCACTGGCACTGGAAGGAAGACTTGGTGTGCTTGGTCCTTGGGTGGACCATTCTGAGAGGTGTCTGCTTCTCTCACGGTGGTGTGATTGCATCTCAGGTGCTCATGACTGAGTTCAACTCTTGTCGTTGCCCTTTTTCTCTCCCCAGCCCTTCCCTCCTGCACCCTGTGGCACCACCTTCCAAATAAACCACCAGAACATGGGTCCTCGTCTCAGGCTCTGCTTTTGGTGTGTGTGGGAGGAGGCAGGGGATTGGGGGGAACCCAGACAACAGGCACAGGGTTGGAACCAGGCAGTAAGTGAAGATCTGGCACAAGTCTAGCTTACAATGGGTTCAGTGTGATTATTTCTTTGTCCCCAGATGCATACATGAAGTGAATATGGTATAATTGGGATGGATTAAGAACCACAGTGGTAAGAGGCAAGATCAGAAAAATGGCCTCCCTTCTCTGGCCAAGAAAGTAAATCAGAAACCATACTGGCTCTTCGGAAGAATTACAGATTAGCACCAACATCAAAGACAAAGGATGCAATTGTGGTTGTCCTCAACTCATCACCATTTAGTTTAACTCTGTGACCTTTGTACAAGCCAGATGGGACACAATGGGTGACCGAGGACTCCTACACACATAAGAAGTAAACCCAATTTCAACTGCCATGCTGGGTGAAGTATTTGCCTGGGACAAATCAACACAGTGTCTGGGGCTTGGGATGTGGTTGTATAGTAGGCAAATACTCCCTTAATCAGCAACAAGAAGGATCAAAAGCAGAATGACAGCAAGATGTGTTCAGGCTTTGTCTCAGCTCTGTGTAAATCACTGCTTTATTTTATGGTGAGTTCTTCCAGGCCATTGTACTGATCCCTAATGTTGAACAAATCATGTTTATTGGATCTGCTGCCTAGAAAGTGGTCAGTAGTTGGAAGTCCTAGTAAAACATGTGTGGAAGAGGATAAAACAAACCCCACAAAGATTCAGGAGACCACTGTGTTGGTAATGATTTTAGGTGTCCAGTGATGTGGGATATTCTCAAGACAGCTGCTCTAAGATAGAGAACAATTTGGACCTTACATCCATTCCCATCCCCACCCATAATAAAAGAAATATTTATTCTATTTGTTGGGTCTCTGGCTATGGGGGGCAAAAAATGATCACCTAAGAACATTGTTTCAACTCCTCTATTGATTTATTCACAAAGCTTCTATCTGTGAAAAGGAGCCCAGAAGATGATGGGAGACTCATGCCACCTACATGGAATTTCAGACCTCCTTCCTTCTCTATATGACAGATTGTAGTGGAGCTGGGGCTGTTGGGTGTGGATACAGGTATTGTGTGGAGCCCCTAGGATTCTGAGGCAAGACCATGTCAAGGAAAATTATTTGCCTCCCAGTTGAGTGTGTTTGAAAATCAGTTCCTGGCTTGCCACTGCACCTAAGGAAAGAGTACTTGACCCTGGGCCTCAACTGACCTGAGCTGGTTATTGTCAGACCCATCTGGTCATAAGAGGTGCAGTAGTTCATGCATGGTGGGAATGTACATTCAGGATTGGGCCTGAGCAGTACAGTGGGCACAAACAAGGAACAAAGTCACCCGGACTCCTCTGTCACCTCCTCTGTCCATCCATGCTTCTCATCCACATCTCTGGCCCCACAGAAGGAGATTCCTACAACCAGATATTGGAAGAGGAAAACCCAGGTCTGGTGTGTGGAAGAGTCCATTATAGATGCACACCAAAAAGGGGCTGTCATATTCCAGTCTCGCCCAGAGGTGGCCCTTTGGGACAGCAATGGAGAAACTGGGAGAAGTAGTACACTTGGTGGTTCAGTTTGTGTGAAAGGGTAAGAATGTATATAGACTCTTGGGTAGTAGAGTATTGCTTGGCTCATTGGTCAAAGCCCACAAAGGAACAGGATGGGATGACTGGAGAGAAGGGCTATGCATGGAGTTGGGGAATGGGCCTGAAGAGGGCAGATCAGATCTTCTGGAAATCATGTTACTGCCCAAAAATGGCACTCAATCCCTCAGTTGTGACATCTGGTTTGGTTAGGATTTGTAGGCCTTGGCTAACCATCATTCCCGCTGCCACAACTAAAACAGCTGGATACATTTCAAAAATCCTTTCTTTAAAGATTTAGAGATCTCTGGAAACAAAGAACATGGCCTAAAATTCCAGAGAAGGGAGAGATTTATGAAGTGAATAGTCTGTCACCAGTCATTTTTAGGCTGGACAGGAAATGAGGAGCAAGCTTGGTGCACACGGGGAGAAGAGACACCAGCAAAACCATGGCCACTTGGACACTTAAGGATCTCTAAACACACAGTGGAGATCTAAGACAAGATGGGAGGCAAAGGCATTTCATTTAAGGTAGATCGAAATCTCTTGTGGCATCCCATAGGGCTACTCAGGCTTTCAATTTCTATTTCTTCTGTGTAAGCTTTGGCAATAGTCAAAGGCATCGGGTAAATGCAAAACCAAGCTGAGCTGCTCATTTATTCTTCCAGAAGCTACAAATCAGGTGATTTCCTGTCTCCCCTGAAAAGGAGGGGAAAAAAGAGTAGAAAGAGGTCATCTTGCTCTTGGCACACTGGGACAGTGTGGTCGCTCAGATTCATCCTGTCCTTCCTGCAATTGTGCAGGTTGTCCATCTGTCTCCCACATGTGACCTCAGTGTGCACCCTGAAAGGATGCCATGTGCAGCAAGGCAGAGATTATGGCTCCATTTCATAGAAGAGGTGTTGGGTCGTGAATAACTTGCCCAAAAGACACAAGTGCTAGGTATCTTGCTAGATTTGGATGTTGGGACTCCCAATTCTCTTTCCATTGCCATACTTCTGACCTTTAAGGACAAAGCAACGAGAATGTGAGCCCCATAAGAGCTAAGACCTGCTGTCCCCCAAAGGACCTGGTACCCAGGAGCAGAGGCAACACTTGAATGAGTGACAGAGGACCAGGTCAACAAAGTGTGAACTGATGGCTTTCCTAGTAAAGGCCATTGAGGCCAAGGTTAATAGGCCGTATGTGTGTGTTTTCCTCCCCTCCCCGCACCCATCCTTTCATTTATACTTCCCAAATAGCTGGGATGACAGACATGCACCATCATCCTAGCTTTTATTAGTTAAGATAGGGTCTTGCAAACTTTTTTGCCTGGGCTCACACTGATCTCCATCTCCCAATGAGTTTGGTTTTGACTAAAGGCTCGAACTCCTCTTGCATTTTTGGAGGGATTTGCACCCTGAATGCTCTGACCTCCAAAGCGGATGTGGAAAGCTCTCTGCTTCCTCAGGCTGGGCCACATTTCTGTTGACACAGGACCAATTGGAACTGAAAGGAAACATCTGTGCAGGGTGATGGTATGGGGTGAGGGTGGCTCCATGTTGGGCCAGAAGTTTTCATGGTCTTTGAGCTGATATGGGTGGAGTACCAAGCTTGTTTTGTATAACTCAGACT